ATATAATGGCAATTTATACATTATGGAAACTGTTCACAAATTATTTCCAGCAGTTTTTGAACAAAATATTGGCACAGGGTGGGGCTATTTATCATTCCCTGTGGGACAACCTTCCATTGATATCTCTTGATCAACTGAGAATTATTGTTAAGTAGGCACTGTGAAGGCTAAATTATATTCATCTCTTTCTTGTAAAGGTATAGTGAAGAAACAATCTTTTAAATCAATAAGTATAATACGCCACTCTTTAGGTATCAGAGAAGGCAAGGGTATTTCAGGCTGTCGAGAACCACTTGGCTGAATTATTTTATTGATGGCTCTCAGATCTGTAAGCATTCTCCGTTTTCCAGATTTCTTTTTAATAACAAACACAGGAGAATTCCAAGGACTGGTAGAGTCTTCATTATATCCAGCATTTAGTTGTTCCTGAACCAGCTTTTCTAGAGCCTGTAGCTTGTCAGAAGTCAAAGGTCATTGCCCAACCCAGACAGACTCATCAGTTAGTCACTTTAAGGGTAGGGCTTTTGGTTCCTCTGTTTGACACTGGTATTCTTTTTCTGTACAGCATGGATTGATGGTGTCTGCTTTATATAGTGCCTTAAAATATATTTTTCCACAAACATGAGTTTGTTTATGGTTCATGCCTGATACTGGAAGAAAGTTAATCTGGGAATTCCATGGCTACAATAGATCATGACCCCACAAATTAATGCATGATTCTGGCAGACACACCTATGCAACTGTGGTAAAAAAGAAGCTTCTTTAGAAAATGTTTCATCTCCATGATGACATCTTAGGCCAGGAATATTGTATTCCAGACTCTTGCTTCTGCCCCACCACGTCATAGCCATATTTGGTAAAAGAGAGAGTCAATGCACATTGGTCATAGACCAGAGATGGATGCCTCTGGAGACTCACCTGACTTCCTGATGCTTCATGTTCACCATTTGCTTTGTCATAATATAAGATATGGAAAACTGGGAATCAAAACTGGAAGCGAATAACGAAGCTTACTGGACTCTTAGTTGTCCTTTTCCTAATAAAGAAGACATAACTACACCATGGTAATCAACCATGTGATCCTAATTGACACTGATCAAATAAGGACAATGCTAAGCCAGAAGTTGATGGCACACGCCTTTAATCCCAGCACCCCCTGTGGCAGAGGCAGTTGGATATCTGTGAGTTTGAGGCCAGCCTAGACTACATAGTGAGTTCCAGGACAGCCTCCAAAACAATACAGAGAAACCCTGTCTTGAAAAACAAAAAACTAAAAAACAAAAACAAAAAAAGGACAACGCCTTACTATGCTTGTCTTACCTCATAGAGTCCTACAGCTCCACCCCGGGACCCCACCTTTACTACATTTTTGTTTGAAACTAGTTGCATTTCCTTTCATTTCTGAATGTGTTTTCAACTTGGTGCACACCAACTATGGAGAAAATATAAATTTGGGAAAACACCTGTATGTCAGAGGGATCATACCAATATCCTTTAGGTCTACACTGTTTTGACCATTTTGTTTAATAATTGTATGTTTTACTACCTGAGATTTGTTTTCCTGCATTTGTTTCTCTATCACTAACTGGAATATTTATTGCATGCTGTCTTGTTTTCCCATTCACGTCTGAATTTACAAGCTGCTATGAAATTGTTATTAATTATTATATGAGTCCCATCAGCAATGTGTGCACATCAAGAACCAGGGGATGCAATATAATGCACATGTTTAAAAAAAACAAACATGTACCTATGTAAAAAACAGCTTAGGTGGGAACCCCACTACACCCAAGGCTGTACCTGATAACTAGAACCCATTGATATCACTGAGCCCAAATAACCAGACACAGTTCTAGAACCTCATGACACCCACTGGACAGTATATAAGCAGGGATCTGCTCTGTACATATGGAGAGAGATCACCTTGATCTGGCCATCCGCTAGAGAATCTACCTCAGGATCCCAACCCCTGAATCCTTGACTTCTGTTAGAGACTAGACCTTACCTTCAGCTAAGGTATATCACTCATGTGAGCAGCCTTGAGGAGACAAGCTTAGGGCCACAGTTGGGAATTTAGAGTGTCAACCTGTGAGATGACCATCAGCATAATAAAACATAACTTGTGTTATAATAACTAGGCATATCTATCTTCTCTTTCATGACGTCACTTTCCTATGATTGGTAATTAGATGTAAGTCTGCATCAAAGGGAGGAAAGGAAAACTTTTCCAAACCAAATACAAGAAAACAGAATTTTGAAGAAACATTGTATGACTCATGTTATACACCAAAAGCAGCTTGTTTTGCTCTAACTGCTTTATAAGACACAAGCACTTTTGAAAACAAATTAATCCCTGCTTTTTACCCGTATGTTTGTGTGTTGAAGAGAACCTCTTTCATGTATGTACAGGTTACACACCACAAAGGAGGGTGTCAGAACCCCTGAACCAAGAGGACCAGGTGGTCATGCACCTCCCAAAGGGGATGGTGGGAGCTGAACTCTGGTCATAGCCAAGAAGGAGATATGCTGAGCCACCTGCCCAAGCCCATGATACTTTTTATTCAATAAACTAAGTCTTTCACAGACTAACAACAACCACAAAACATAAATGAACCAAGCAAATAAATGATCACTGGGAACATGATTCATCAAAGTTGAGATGTATGTGGTCGATTTGCACCATAAATGGAATAAAATCCAGAGACAATGTCCAAAAAATTATCACAGAAAAGTTCACTCCAAACACTCAGAATAATCAATGGGATTATTAAAAAATAGTACACATATTGACACAATGTGACTTCTATATTTACCACAATAATCAAGAATGTGTACAAGGTTTATGTAGGAATAAAGGGGATGGACTGAAAATGCCAAGAGCAAAAGCAGGAAAATATAACCAACTTTTCAAAAGACCAAATGCAACGCAGCCAGGAAATGTGGGGTCTTGATCAATGCTGCCCAACTCAACTACCTATGATTCTATGTGTAAAGAAATGTATTGAACACAGACTTCCCAACTCCCACAAAATTAACTCACAGTGACCATGGGAGCCCTAACCCTTTCAGAGGAATGGATGAGGGGGTAGAAAAGAGGAGGGGGGAGAGAACAGGAGGAGAGGTGGGAGGGGAAACTGTTTGGTATGTAAAATAAGTAAAAAACTTAAAATAAAAACAACACCTGCTCAGGTGGTGGTGCACTCCTTTATCCCACCACTCAGGAGGCAGAGGCAGGTGGATCTCTCTGAGTTCCAGATCAGCCAAGTCTACAAGAGCAAGTTCCAGGACAGCCTCCAAAGCCACAGAGAAACCCTATCTTAAAAAATAAATTAAAAAACATCACCAATAGTTGACTTTTTAGACTGTTAAAAATAAAAGGAAGAGCACTAGACTACACTGACTTTGAAACAGAGTTGGCACTTCCCTGATACAGAGTATGCCATTAAGACATTGTATGACTTCATCCCATTTCAAATGTTAGTGGTTGGGAGTTGTAAGTGACACAGGTTTACAGCCAATGTCCATTGTCTCAAGCATATGAGCTGACTTAGCTGCATCAACCAGATCTGCACATATCTGCATATAGGAGTTCACTAACTGGAATGAGCCCTGAACCTTCCCCCAGTTCTGTCTGTCTCATTCACACTGAAGCATATGCTGGAAATTCCACACAAAGTCACTCACCCTGCAGCTCACTGCCTTAACCTTCAGTCTGTGGTCTGAAACAGCCTAGTCTCTTTCCCCTGCAGTGTACACGGTAACTGTTCCTCCTCTTCTGGTTTGAAGCCAAGCTCCACACACAGTTCCTTGTCCTGTCACTGCAATGGACAGTGCACTAGGTGACTCAAACTGGTCATTTTAGAATCTGTGGGACTACAGGCTTGTAATCCAGGAATTCAGTGTGGTTACTCAGGGGCTTAGCAAGGGCAATGCCTGTGGGGCTACAGACAGGGTTCAGGTCCACCTCACTCAACACAGGAGACCTTAGACCAAAACCACTTTTCAAAAGGACTGGAGATGCAGCTATTCTAGAATGAATGCACCATAACTTAATGTTGGCTGTGACTCTGTAATGGCCCCTTGAGCAGCATGTCCTTGAGAAGCCTTTTCTTTGATGGGGAGGTGGGCATTTAGGCTAGGTTGTCTCCTTTGTTATGGGAATGTAGTTTAATAGCTGATTAACACTGATAACAGACATTTACATTTTATCACACTAATCTCTAACAGGCATGGACAGCATACTGTCTGCTTTTAGTGTATTTGGGAGTCAGCCCTCCCACAGTCAAATTCTACTTTGCATAACTCCTAAGAACTGAGAAATCCAGCAAGATGTGGAGCGCCATATGCCTTTAATCCCAGCACTCGGGAGGCAGAGGCAGGTGAATGAATCTCTGTGAGTTCCAGGCCAGCCTGGTCTACACAGTGAGTTCCAGGGCAGCCAGAGCTGTACAGAGAAGCCCTGTCGAAAAACAAAACAAAACAAACAAACAAAAAATGAGTCAACCCTCCTACCATCAATTCTATTGCCATCAATTCTACTCCTCTACATGAGAATTGGGCAAGTGAGTGCTACTCTGCACAGGAGACACCGTTTACAAGCTCCACAGCATTAACTCCAGAATGATCCTAAACCTGAGGGTTAACGTTAAACGTGCAGAAGTTCTGGAAAATACTAGGGAGACCGGGGCTCTCCGAGTTTGGCAAATCTGCCTTCCACAGTGACAACACAAGCACCGCTGGCGCGCTCATTCCACAACGACGTCAACAGCAGGGCAATTTCAAAGCGTTCCCGCTCCCAGTGCTAAGCACAGACGCAGCCCAGAGAGCACAGTTCTTCAGAGGCTGCGGCACCGGCTCAGTGAGCTGCAAGGACCGGGCAGGACCACGCCGAGCTCTCAGTCTGCCCGCTGCTCCTACCCGGCCCCGGAGGACCCAACACACCCGCTCCCGCGGCTCTGCCGGCGCTGATCCCAGCCTGGGGACAGACGCCCAGCACTCACCATGGCCGGCTCCGCCTCCCAGCCTGGGGACAGCAGCCGCGGACTCACTAAGGTGCAACTGCCTGGCTCACCAGCGCTCTAGGCACAGATCCCGGGAGCGGGATCCCCAGCGCACAACACGTGACAACTTCCGCTTTCCTCCACAACTACGGGCAGCAGGGACCAGGCACCGAGAAAAGCCCGCCCATCTTTCCGTCTGCTGGAGCTCTGATTGGCTAGTGCGGCATGAGTGACAGGAATGAGTGAGCTGAAGGACTCAGCACAATGGTTCCGGGCTCTGACTTCCACCCCCAAGCCGACCTATCCCGGGCTGGATGGAGATTTGTGCCAAGTGTCTTGTTTGTGTAAACCAACGGGTTCAGTTTTAAAAGGAACTTTACAGACTCCAGAGGAAGCTGATCAGACAATGTTGCCCAACAGGAACACAAGATACCTCAAGAACACAACAGACCAACTCCACAATGGCCTGGAGACTGATAACCAGAGCATCATTCATACAAAGACTTGGGTTGGCCGGGCGCTGGTGGCACAAGCCTTTAATCCCAGCACTAGAGAGGCAGAGGCAGGTGGACCTCTGTTTGTTCGAGGCCTGCCTGGTCTACTGAGCGACTTCCAGGACATCCTCCAAAGCTACAGAGAAACCCTGTGCTCCATGACCTTGCCTCTGCTGTCCTGGTCACTAGGAGGTCAGATGCCCTAGTGACCTAGAAAAAAGTTAATATCTAGAATTTATTAGCTTTCTACTCATTCTGCCCTGTCTCTCCCTAAAAATAGTATATTACATGCTTTACTTCTGGAACTTGCTGGGCATGTTTAGTGAGCTAACCCCATTAGCTCAGGCGCTCAGGCATTCATCCATTCACAGAGGCCTATGACTGAAGAAAAATGCCTAGAAGCCTTGTACAAGGCAGGGATCTTCTAGGGCAGGGTAAGGTGAGTATCTAGGGGTATGCAACAGTCTGAGGATTGGTGGCTTCTAGGCATAGAGGACAAGCTCTATGTTGATTGGTCAACTGGTTGTTAAGGCCCATAGGCCCTCCCAGGGTGGTTGCTATGCTCTGCATGTCACTGTTGTGCACTTGTCTGTAAAGGACACCCAGAGCCTTAAGCACAGCCCCACCACCTAACTTCTGATTGGTTCCATGACACCAGGAGGGCATCTGACCTCCTAGTGACCAGGGCAACAGAGGCAAGGTCATGTGAGCACATGTTAGACTGTCATGGCTGCTAAAACAGGGATGTCGGGGTGTGAGGATGGGGGTTGTCACTTCACTACTTCCTTCTTTGATGGAATATCAATATTCAGCACATGTGGTGGTCATCCTTTGTGAGAAGGCACAGCTGATCATATAAGAGTGCCAATTGTTTTCCTTAAGATAGTGGTGAGTAACAACATTTAAATACAAGAAAGGTGAATAGTAACTCTGAAGATATTGTAATAGATTAATATTTCCTAGGTACGATCTCTTAAACTAAAGCTTAGAGAAACCACTAGACAGTCATATATTACATGGGATCCCTACTATAACCATGCTTTTGGTTTTCAGTGGGTGCATGTAGGAGATATAATAAAATAGGAAATCAGAAAACCTTGACCACCAACCCCAATACAATCTGTGTGCCGAGTACCACAGACTGAGGTGAAAACCTCAAAAGAAGGAAGCCTCCTGGAACTGGTTGTGGCACTCTAGGCCAGAACAAAATATTGAGTCGTAGCTTTCATGGCAATTTATCTGTTTATCTTCTATTCTCTTTCTATAGTCATGAGATATTCCTGATAGCCTAGGCTGAGATTTTAAGTGCAAAATTTAGATAAGAAACCATCCCTTGATGGTGGTCAGTAGCCATGACCTTATTTCCAGAAAAAAACAGAGCTTTACTTTAAACATTACAAAATAGCATTATGATAAAATCTTCCCTAACAATAAAATTTCATCGGAAGTGGGGTTAGGTGTATGGTAAATAAAGCCTTAAATTAAAAAAAAAGAATTAAAATAGTTTAAATTTGGCATCCAGAAGACACACCCACACAGGAAAGACATCAGCCCTTCCAGGCCCCAAACTCCGGCGATCCCAGCTTCAGGTGAGCTTGGGTCTCCAGAGGGACACTCCCCATCCTCCGCCCAACACCCATCCCCTCGAGCTTCCGGGGGCCGCTCCTGGCATCCAGAAGACCCGCACACGCAGGAAACACATCAGCCCTTCCAGGCCCCAACCTCCGACGACCACAGCTTCAGCTTAAGCTTCAGTGTCAGCGTCCCCAGCTTCAGCTTCAGGAAGGAAGGAGACCAGTGGAAATGGAAAGAGCCCACCAGCACCCACTGGAAGAAGAGATGGGAAGAAGACAGAATAAGAGCTCACTCACACTAGAAAGACCAACATGACTCCAGCAGTATCTAGGGAACCAACACCAGCAAGAGCCGAAAAGAAATACATAGACGAAGCAGAGGAGACAAAACTTAAAAATTATTTCACGAAGATGATAGAGACCCTCAAAGAAGAAACGAGGAAATCCCTTAAAGAAATAGAAGAAAAAACAAACAAAAAAATCCATGAAATGGGGGAAAAATTCAAGAAGTAAACAAATCTCTCAAAGAATCTAAAGAGTACCAAGAAAAAAACAACCAAACAAATGAAACAACTCAAACAGTTGAAGGATTGAAAGCTGAAATAGAAACAATAAAGAAAACACAGAATGAGAGGATGCAGAAAATAGAAAAACTGGGTAAACGATCAGGAACTACATATGCAAGTATCACCAATAGAATACAAGAGATAGAACAGAGAATCTCAGGTGTTGAAGACTCATTAGAAAATATAGAGTCGTCAACCAAAGAAAATCTCAAAACCAACAAATCCCTAACACAAAATATCCAGGAAATATGGGACAACGTGAAGAAGCCAAACCTGAGAATAATAGGTATAGAAGGCGAGGAAATACAGCTCAAAGGTACAGAAAACATATTCAACAAAATCATAGACGAAAACTTCCCTAACCTAAAGAAGGATATGCCTATGAAAATACAAGAATCTTACAGAACACCAAATAGGCTGGACCAGAAAAAGAAGTCACGTCGCCATATAATAACCAAAATATCAAACCTACAGAATAAAGAGAAAATATTAAGAGCCGCTAAAGAAAAAGGCCAAGTAACATATAAAGGCAGACCTATCCGAATTACACCTGACTTCTCAATGGAAACAATGAAAGCCAGAAGATCCAAGACAGATGTCCTACAAATGCTAAGGGATCAAGGATGCCAGCCCAGACCACTATATCCAGCAAAGCTTTCAATTACCATAGATGGAAAAAAACAAAATATTCCATGACAAAGCCAGATTTAAACAATACGTATCCATGAATCCAGCGCTACAGAAAGTGCTAGAAGGAAAACCTAGATCCAAGGAAGATAACTACACTCACAAAGACGCAGGCAATATATAATCCCACTTTACAAAACACCAAAAGAAAAAGGGAGGAGAACCTATACAAAATAACTTCACTACCAATAAAAGCACAAACAAGAATCATCAATCAATGGTCATTAATACCCCTCAATGTCAATGGCCTCAATTTTCCTATAAAAAGACACAGACTAGCAGAATGGATATAAAGACAGAACCCATCCTTCTGCTGCATATAAGAAACACATCTCAACGTCAAAGACAGACATTATCTCAGAGTAAAGGGTTGGGAAAAGATTTTCCAATCAAATGGTCCCAATAAACAAGCGGGTGTAGCAATCCTAATATCTAACAAACTAGACTTCAAATTAAAATCAATCAAAAGAGATGAAGAAGGACATTTTATATTCATCAAAAGAAAAGTTCATCAAGATGAAGTCTCAACTTTAAACATCTGCACCCCAAATACAAAGGCACTTACATTCATGAAAGAAACATTACTAAAGATCAAATTGGACATAAAATCTCACACACTAATAGTAGGAGACTTCAACACTCCTCTCTCAAGGCTAGACAGGACCTCCAGACAGAAACTTAACAAAGAAACAAAAGAACTAATAGAAAGTATGACCCAACTGGGTTTAACAGACATCTATAGACCATTCCACCCAAACACAAAAGTATATACCTTCTTCTCAGTGCCACATGGAACCTTCTCTAAAATTGACCACATAATAGGAAGCATAGCAAATCTCCACAGATACAAAAAAATTGGAATAAACCCCTGTATCTTATCAGACCACCATGCACTAAAATTAGAATTCAACAATAACACAAATTGCAGAACCCTACAAACTCATGGAAATTGAACAAGGCACAATTGCACCATCCCTGGGTAAAGGAAGAAATAAAAAAAGAAATTAAAGACTTCCTGGAATTCAATGAGAATGAAGACACAACATACGCAAACTTATGGGACACTTTGAAAGCAGTGCTGAGAGGAAAGTTCATAGCACTAAGTAACCACTTGAAGAAACTGGAGAACAGTCATACTAGAGAATTAATAGCACAGCTGAATGTTCTAGAACAAAAAGAAGTGTGGGGAACCGCCCCCACATTTTCCGTTACAAGATGGCGCTGACACCCGTTGTCAGTTGGAGTAAACAACCTTGGTGCGCATGTGCCTGCTACTTTTCTATCCCTCACTCTCTGCCTCTCCCGTGGCGTCATATGGGCTGACAAGCAGGAGCCAGTCAGGAGATGACACGTCCGAGGCGGGGACTGCTGAGCTATATAAGGGTTGGGCTTTTCGCTCCCCGGGTCTCCGCTTTGTAAGCTTATGCTCTCCCTCTCAAGATGCATTAAAGCTGTTCAGCAGAAGGATCCTAAGTGTGCCGCGTCGTTCTTGCTGGTGAGACAGTAGCGCGGGACATCTGGTGCCGAAACCCGGGAACTCAGACCTCATCATCGTCAGCACCATCGGAGACCCCTTGGATTCAAGGAGGATTCAGAACTGCAGGTAACTACGCTCGGAGAGGTATGCTATTCTGGGACTTTGGATTGGAGCCTGTGTTACAATTGTTACATCGTTACAATTGTTAGGATAAGCGGCAGTGCCTGACTGTGTGCTTTAGTCTCTTGTAGATAAAAGAGACTTTTGTTTCATTCGAGCCGCAGGTGTTTATTTTTATCATGGCTCCTCTCAATCCCTCTAGCATGTCAGAAACCAA